GTCAAAATTACCGATGACATTCGCTTTGGCATGGAGAGTCAGAAACTCACAACTTTAACTTTATTGGATTTTAGTAACGCCTTTAACAATGTTGACTTTGAAATCCTGTTGAGTTTACTGCGTTCTCTTAACATATCTCCTACGGTCATTGACTGGTTTCGTAGTTATCTACATGGACGCCGGCAGCGTGTAATTGTGGGTGAATCCTTCTCTCAATGGTGTACTCTAACGGCCGGTGTTCCTCAAGGTGGCGTGCTATCTCCTTTGCTTTTCGCTATTTTTATTAACTCAATTACCCTCAAGTTAACTTCTACCTGCCATCTGTATGCAGACGATCTTCAGATTTACACACAGGATCGACTGGAAAACTTAAATAATGCAATTAATAACCTAAATGCAGACTTAGCACTTATAACGGAATGGAGCAATGCGTTTGGGCTCAAAATCAATCCAACAAAAACGCAGTGCATAACTATTGGTAGCCCTTACTTTATATCTCGGATTGACTTTAAGCAGCTCCCATCAGTTACTTTAAATGGAACTGTTATCCCATTTTCTGAAACAGTTCGGAATTTGGGGGTCATATTTGATAACACTCTATCTTGGTGTCCTCAGGTTGCTGAGGTCAGTAGGCGAACTTTTGCTGCGGCTGGATCTTTACGACGTTTACGCAATTTCTTGCCCACTGCCACCAAAATTTCTCTTGCAACTTCTCTTCTTCTACCTATTCTCGATTATGCAGATGTTTGTTATCCCTATCTTACCTATGATCTTCTAAGTAAACTTGAACGTCTGCAAAATTTTTCCATCAGATTCATTTACGGTCTACGTAAGTACGACCATGTTTCTTATTACAGGCAGAAATTGAAATGGCTTCCCATTCGTCGTCGCCGTGATCTGCATATATTATCCCTACTCTTCTCAATACTGTTCAATCCAAAAGCTCCTGTCTATCTCAAAGAACGTTTTCAGTTTCTTTCTTCTTCTCATAATCTTCCGCTTCGCTCATCTGACAATCTCCTGCTTTTCACACCTCCTAACTTTTCCAAGGCGTATAGCCACTCCTTTACCATACGTGCTATCCAACTATGGAATTCTCTGCCGGAAAAGATTAGGCGTGCCCAAACTCTATCCTGCTTCAAATCCCTAGTTAAGGAGCATTTCTTGTCAGATGAGCATAATTTTCATTAAAATATTGCTACGGTAGTAGTGCTGTTGCATTATATTGCGATATGTGTGAATGTCTGTGTATGCCTATATGTTTAGTTTGCGTTTATTTTGATTATTTTCAATTGACTACTTACAAAACTTTTGTCTTGTTTTCCGCACAACCTCCCTCATTATTATTATCGTGCTTTCTACTTTTCCAGCTCATTGGGTTGTCTGGAAGAAATCGCTGATTAGCGATAAGACCGCCCTTTGTGCAACTGTAATTGTTTTGCCTTGTATTTGTATTTTTCATGTTATTTATGTTACTGTTGTGCAATAAAGTATTATTATCTTATCTTATCTTATCTTTAATACGACAAAACACTGTTAGATGATAATATAATCATATTTTGAACTCTATATTTGACTGCACAAAATATATATTATAAACGCCAGATGTCAAGTCATTCTTATATATAATAACTGAAAATTTACCGCTAGCAATAAAAAAATATTTTATCCTGTTCGCAGCGCCATCTACCGAGTTATGGAGGCCTAAAATAGCGACAATGTTATTTTATTTGACATTTCAAATATGCTTTTTTCCTCTAATGGTCTATTTTTTAATTTCCGTAAAACGTCTTGCCATTGAAGCCGGGTCTCCAGCTCGTATTTTGCCCTATACAATCAACAAAAACATATCAACATTCAACAAAAACGTCTACACAAAACTGTTTCGGAATACATGTTGCATTAACAAAGTTTTCAGCTTTCTGAATCCGATGGAAAGCACGTAACACACCACCCCCGCGCGGGTCGAGGGGCTGGGTATTGTTTCATCGGCCATTTTATGACAACTCGATAGCGGGGCTGCGTTCCAAACCTACGCCTTAAATGCAAGTTTTCACTCTGGCGTTTCAATTTTGACATAAAATGTATGAAAGTTTTGTTAAATTTGGCATTTGTTGCACATGGATCGTAGGTTTAGAATGCATTCCTGTTTATTTCGTGTACGGCAGCCAACGGAACAGTAGACAACGTGTGTAGTGAAACATGTTTTAGAAAAAAAAGTTTTATTTATGTGTTTTTGTTAATCGTTTTCAAAAAAAAGATTTATGCTAGAGAACCGACTACTTTTATTTATAAAATACTGTTTTAATGGGTTTCAAATGCGTTTTTTAAACAGGCACCGTTCTCAAGAGCATGATTTGTCGGTTTGCCATTTTAAGATTTGATAAAATGAAACTTACTATGACAAATAATATGAAACCTACAACCTCGCCATTTTAAACCCCCAGCTGTTAATTTTAACCATTCAGGGAACCCACTCGAATGCACGTAAAATTCATTTAAAATTAAGCAGTTCAGGCTATACACCCATGCAGAACAATTATATGTAAAAAAAATATAGCTTGTTTTTGGAAGCTTAATATGTGATGCTGGTTTTGATCTACGTAGATGGTTTATCATTATTTAAAAAAAAATATGTTTTTGAAGGACGCATCTGCTTATGATATTAATTAGTTAGCTTAGGTAACTATAGTTAGCGTTGAATTAGGTAATACATACGTAAATATACAAATCATTAAAGTGGTACAAGTTAACTTTTAAGATTATTTAACAAACAATTGAAAATATTTAAACAAAAAAATCCTGTGCCTATTTGAATAGTGAAATCGACACTATAACCAATTTTTTTGTCTATGACCGCCCAATACCAGGAGGCCTCTCTCACTTCCGTGTATGCATCGAAAATGTACCTACGCACGCCGGCCCTTCTAGAGGGGCCAATTAGTTTTCTGGAATAACGGGCGCCAGGTGGAAGCACTGAGACGAAAGGTCTGCTCATTCGTTAAACCACGTATGTCGTCATAGTCTATGGATTAATTTAAAGGCTCGTTCGATAATTCGCGCCAAAACTTTATACGAAAGAGCTTATGTCACAGTGGCACCATCTGGTGGCGTAAATTTTTCTAAACACCCTTATTCATCGCAAGATTGTTGGGAACCTGCAACAACAGTAAAATGGTCCGAACGATTTTAAAATAGAGAAACCTAAATGAGGCAAAAAAATATTGTGCAGTGTTAGATTGTTTAAACAATTTCATCTATATAAGTCCAAAATATTTAGATTGACCGACAATCACATATCAAAAAGTTTATTCACATGCCTACCACAATATTTATTGCAATTTTCATACATGTAACCGATTTCCTACACTAATCCTAATGGACCATTTTAAAAGTATTTAGAATACATTTCGTTTACAACTACTTCCTTAATGCTAAATTTAATAATAAAAAAGCTACATTTAATTACAGCTCTCTATTCAGAAATGAAACTCGATCAAATATTGGTTTTGCATTGCAATTTATACATAAATTAGTTTAACTATTCAGTTAAAGTACTGGTTATTTAAAAAAAATGGGTTGCACCATTTCAAGATAGTCAAAAATGTGGTCATAATTTGACAGTAACAGTTACTGTCTAAGCGAGATCAGTTAAACTAACTTCTAAACTTTAACTTTTTACTGATTCGCCATTTTTTATCAAGAAAAGGACAACAATACAACTCAGCCGTCTACAGACGTTGGCTGAAAAGCGACACGGACTCGCGCCGTTTCGCTCGCGCTGCGTTAAAGCGTACAATTCTGTCTCGCTCGCTCGATTGAATGTTTATTTACAGACGTGTGCGTGTGTGAGAGTTGCTTATGTACTTGAGTCGGATCATATTTTATTTGATGCTAGTATGGGCGTACTGTATCACCCGTTTTTCTTTTAATCTAAGGTTAAAATTAAACTAGCTGTAAAATGGGTGCCCAAATAAAAGACAACTCGTTTGAGTAATTGAGCTGTTTACTGCTCGGAAGCCAATAAAAAGGATTTTAAACCCATTTTTTTTCTGCATATATATACATGATACATTGTCGGCAACGCCATCTAGTTTCAAGTGTTGAAACCTAAACACTTTATTCGAAGTTTGCAAGCCGTCTAGATTCACCTTGAGTGACTAGATGGCGCTGTCGCAACACTAGATGTTCATGCTAGATTTAAAAGAAAATGTTACTAGAAAAAAAAACACTTAGCCCAGGTTTCAGGCAGTATTCGAACCCGCATCTTCCGCTAACTGGACGTGCTAACCAATAATGCTACCGAGACCTCAATGGCCGTGTCGAATTTCTAGTATTTCTTAGGCGGCAAGTGTATTTTTACTTTATTTTAATCATCAAAGCCACTATTATCTGATCGAGCTCAAATCGTTCAAATTATATTAGCAATAATTTATATTACAGATCACATTATATTATTTATTTATATCGTGTGACTTCACAAACGCAACATATTAGCGATCGGTACTCTATTTTATACATACATTTTGTGTTTGCAACGGGTAGTATTGACGTACTTGCAGCATAAGCACATATCTAGAAACCTTAGAATTGCATCAAAATTAAGAATATGTGCTCGTATTACCTAATAACATTCACACTTACGAAGCTTTAATAAATTAATAATTTAAAAAACTAAAAGCACGCTTTTATTATCTGCACTATAAAGCCAAAAATAAACAAAATATACTCTCTGTTTACTTCATTAGGGTGTAAGAGTTAGCCATGTTTATAGTTTAATTTAACATATATATCCATATATATATAAAGCGTGGGCCGCTATGCATCGTAATATTACAATTAATATATTACGTGATTCATAATGCTTAACAGTTCAGCCAAAATTTTATAATGAAGTGCCCCACGCTTTCTTGTACAGGGTTACAGGGACAGTCGTACCGAATATTGAAGAACGTTATTATTCAGGTCATTTCTGATGGATTTGGTCCTATAATATGGTGCCCGAAACTTAACCGTTATGGAGATATTGGATATTAATTATTTTTTTAAAAAATCCTATATTTTTTGGGTTTATGTCGATTTTTTTGAAACTAGAGCTCCAAAGGTCCGATTTTTTAATGTATCTAGTTAGAAAACATGTCAGGCAATAAAACAAAATGAATAAAAACTGAACCTACTTCTAACGGCTTAAAAAAACTGCACGACAACGGTTATAACTAAAGAATTTTCACCAAGTGTTCTTAACTTTGAAGCGCTTTTCTAAAATAAAAATGTATGGAACTTATTCTGCAAATAATTTTAAAAACTTCTACGTCTCTTTAGCTATTCAAAAAGGTATAACACTTGCTAATAACGGTTATGTTTCGGACACCATATTATAGGATCAAATCCATCAGAAATGACCTGAATAATTATGTCCTTCAATATTCAGTACGACTTTCCCTGTAACCCTGTATATCAATATACTATACGTTAAAATAAACTATAAACATGAGCTTGTTAAAAAAGATTTTTTCTACATACTTTATTCACAAATCTTGCGTCTGGTAGACCTATGTCAGTTTTTAAAGACTGCAATCGTCTTGTTGAGGTTCTGTAAATTTGACAGTATCGCTGTACTTTCCAGTAGACATGTCGCCAGCAACGACATAATGATTTAGAGAGAATAACCACTCATTCAGAACTCACATAATTACAGTATATTAGTTTACAATCAAATACGCCTTACTTCTTCTATCGTCAACCTTTCTCTTTCTACCTTATAGAAACTATAGAGCGAGACAGACTATTTCGTTGCCTTTCGCAAAGTTACATTTCGCTATAAGACATCTATATAGTAAAAGAAAGGGATAAACTGACTGACGATGTCCTACGCGCCTATATTGCATTCAGTAAAATTTAATGGCGACTCTTCTTATGGCTACTATATAGTAAACTTGACACCAGTCTCTCCTTTTCACTCCTTTTAGAGTATGATAAGGACAACCTGCTGTTAAAATGACAAATAGCAAATACGAATAGCAATGTGCTTATGCCAGCAATGTAAATGGTATTTTTGTTAGGCTTTAAAGATCTCTTATTAACATATTTTACTGGGTACTAGTTATAATAATTTTAAGAATATCGCTTACGGTAACGATATTATTGAGCGGGCTGCGTTTGCCTCGTAGGTGAATGCGCGCGCGCAGGTTCTTCAACGAGGTCTTGTTTCTTGCTTTGTACGAATCTGTGATTAAAAAAAACGGTTCTGTTAGCTTCAATTCGATGCGAATCATTTATTTCTGAACTAGGTTCCATAGTGTTAGTAAATTTTAATATATGTTCTAATAAGCTTAGTATATCAGAGATTATTTATAGATTATACTAAATTATATGTTGCTACAGAAGAGTGTCCCATCGGTCATTAATGGGGTCCTTTACGAGAGGCGTGAAGAAGCAATTTTGCAGGCCGGCAATGTGAGGATGGTTGGCGTGGCTGTTTATAACTGCTGTACCAGTATTCTTCGCTATATTTTATCACCACTTAACATCAGGTGGGGTAGAATCATTTGCCTACCGGGCTATTTAAAAAAATCATAGGTGTGCGTTAAAATATGTATTACTATCGGAACGTTAATAAGATGAATGCCATTGTATCTTCTGGTACCCCATGTAGTTCTTGTGGTAGACTGGTAGCAGAAGAGGGAATCTAAGTCTGCTGTCCCGGCCAATATCCCTCTTGGATAAAGATTGTATGCGCCCTTGGTAACAAGGGGTAGGGGATTGGATATATGGTAGCCGCTTACCCATCCGCATCAGGTGGGTGATTGTTTGCTGTCACCCTTTTAATATAGATAAAAATAATCCTAAAGCCAAGGATTGCTTAGGCCAGAGGAAGCTGCGAGTGGAGTGGCCAGATCAAAGTATCTAGTTATCTAGTAGTAAAAAAATTACCCCCCCCCCCCCCCCCCCCCCCGCCCAGTGGACAGGGCTCATAAGAGACAAACGAAATTGTCATGTTTGTTTGTAGGGAGATTTCGTTATAAGTTGATGGTCTGGAGATCACATTAAATGTCGAGATAATACTGACGATTCTTGACCATCTGGCAACTCTAAGTGAAAGGCGGTACACGTCGGTGGTAATAGCGACTGAGAGACAGACAGACTGACAAGGCACCTGTCCCCTTAGCACGAACCAATATCGAATTCGTATCGTTTGCGAGTCCGAAATGTCATCGTCAAATGTGTACTGATTTTTAGTTCCCGTTACGTCCAAAGTGGCGCTGCTGTTCAAGTTTCCATACAAAATTTGACATTGACATTTCGGTTTGCAAACTATTCGAATTCGGTAATGGTTCGTGCTAGGGGTACTGTTTAGTCCACCACGCGTCACAGTAACACCCCCTGCAGTTCCTGCAGGTTCCGTACCCAAAGGGTAAAAACGGGACCCTATTACCAAGACTCATCCGTTCGTCTGTCTGTTTGTCACCAGGCTGTATCTCTTGAAACGTGATAGTCAGACAGTTGAAATTTTCAAACATGATGTATTTCTGTTGCCGGTGTAACAACAATTAATATCTCATACAACAAACGTGATTTTTCCGTTTTTTTGCTCTATTTTAATAACGGCAACAGGTAGATGCTTAAAATATTCACAGAATATTTGTTAATTTAAATTAAAGATATATTGTTTTAAACTTTCATGGTCACTAACATTATAGCTATTAACGGGATTTGTTACCATGTACCTTGTTTTTTATGAGTCTGGTGAGTGAGTGTTCTTTTTTAGAACCACTGGTTCGTATGTGCAAAAACCGTAAAAATCAAAAAAGTGTCGTTCCGCGATCGGATACTGTGAGTATTGTGTGTCGGGAACAGGTGCGAGTGAATAGTGAGAATGTGACCAATGGTAGGGGTATCGAGCGCAGTAAAAGACGACGTCAGAGGGTAGACCGATATGTCTGCCAATAACATCTACCCGCAATTACTTCAGTTACTCCGTGATCATGGCGCTTGCAACAGTGCCGAAATATCGGAGACTCATAAAAAACAAGGTACATGGTAACAATCCCGTTAATAGCTATAATTAAATTAAAGATGAATAATTCAATTAAAACAAAATAGATATTGCGTCGCAGTAACACCCCCTGCCGGCGACGAGGAGACAGACAGACGGACGAGTCACCTGTACATGTCGGCGGTGGTCTGCAGCGTGCCGTGCGCGAGGTGCAGGCGACGACCGCAAGGCGGAGGCGCGGCGCTGGGCGACCACCAGTCGACAACTCGCCCAACGACGGGCATGCGTCGCAGTATAACCCCCTGTCAGCGACGAGGAGACAGACAGACAGACGAGGCACCTGTACACGTCGGCGGTGGTCTGCAGCGTGCCGTGCGCGAGGTGCAGGCGACGACCGCAAGGCGGAGGCGCGGCGCTGGGCGACCACCAGTCGACAACTCGCCCCACGACGGGCATGCGGCGCAGTATAACCCCCTGTCAGCGACGAGGAGACAGACAGACAGACGAGGCACCTGTACACGTCGGCGGTGGTCTGCAGCGTGCCGTGCGCGAGGTGCAGGCGACGACCGCAAGGCGGAGGCGCGGCGCTGGGCGACCACCAGTCGACAACTCGCCCAACGACGGGCATGCGTCGCAGTAACACCCCTGCCGGCGACGAGGAGACAGACAGACAGACGAGGCACCTGTACACGTCGGCGGTGGTCTGCAGCGTGCCGTGCGCGAGGTGCAGGCGACGACCGCAAGGCGGAGGCGCGGCGCTGGGCGACCACCAGTCGACTACTCGCCCCACGACGGGCATGCGGCGCAGTATAACCCCCTGTCAGCGACGAGGAGACAGACAGACGGACGAGTCACCTGTACACGTCGGCGGTGGTCTGCAGCGTGCCGTGCGCGAGGTGCAGGCGACGACCGCATGGCGGAGGCGCGGCGCTGGGCGACCACCAGTCGACAACTCGCCCAACGACGGGCATGCGTCGCAGTAACACCCCTGCCGGCGACGAGGAGACAGACAGACAGACGAGGCACCTGTACACGTCGGCGGTGGTCTGCAGCGTGCCGTGCGCGAGGTGCAGGCGACGACCGCAAGGCGGAGGCGCGGCGCTGGGCGACCACCAGTCGACAACTCGCCCAACGACGGGCATGCGTCGCAGTATAACCCCCTGTCAGCGACGAGGAGACAGACAGACAGACGAGGCACCTGTACACGTCGGCGGTGGTCTGCAGCGTGCCGTGCGCGAGGTGCAGGCGACGACCGCAAGGCGGAGGCGCGGCGCTGGGCGACCACCAGTCGACAACTCGCCCAACGACGGGCATGCGTCGCAGTATAACCCCCTGTCAGCGACGAGGAGACAGACAGACAGACGAGGCACCTGTACACGTCGGCGGTGGTCTGCAGCGTGCCGTGCGCGAGGTGCAGGCGACGACCGCAAGGCGGAGGCGCGGCGCTGGGCGACCACCAGTCGACAACTCGCCCCACGACGGGCATGCGACGCAGTAAGCCTTCTTGCCATAGCCGCTCGGCGCTCTCGCGCTCCAAGTCCGCTTGGGCCGCTTCGATACCTAGATAGCGATGATTATTCAATACTAGCAAACCAGTGAACCAAATGTTCACCAAAAAAAAAAAATGTATTTAATTAGTTGAGAACTTCGGAGATTTTGTGTGGTTTCGTTTGAAATAGAAATCACGTTATTTCTCGAAAACCGGAAGTGCTACGTTACTCACATCCGGTTTGTAGTATTATCAGACTATTCTTAACTTATAACTTGAACATTCTCTATATCTATCTCTTACGGTTTGGCCGCTGAAACAGCACCACGGACGGACGGACGGACTTGTCTAATAGATAAGAGATTATAAATAACTAGCAAACCAGTGAACCAAATGTTCACCAAAAAAAAAATGTATTTAATTAATTGAGAACTTCGGAGATTTTGTGTGGTTTCGTTTGAAATAGAAATCAAGGGATTTCTCGAAAACCGGAAGTGCTACGTTACTCACATCCGGTTTGTAGTCTTATCAGACTATTCTTAACTTATAACTTGAACATTCTCTATATCTATCTCTTACGGTTTGGCCGCTGAAACAGCACCACGGACGGACGGACGGACTTGTCTAATAGATAAGAGATTATAAATAATAGAATAGACTCGGCCCCTTTATTAGGACTAATTGAAGGACAATGGGCAAAAACATGAAGCTCCGCCAAAAATATAATTAGTATGAATCGAAAGATCTATGAAATATTAGCCTTTTTTTTATGACACTGTAAAAAATATCCTGGTAATCGAAAGATATGGCACATGGGCTATTTAAGAAGCTTAATAAAATTTAATAGTACCTTTATTTTATAATATTAGTAACCATAATAATGTGCTATATCGTACTAAACAACTAGATATACGACAAAGCCTGCCGACCATCCTGCGCTTGCACTTTCACGAGACACTTCAAAACAGTCGTTTTGAAGTTTCAAGTCGAGTTCAAGTTGCAGCTAGTCGACTCATATGCATTCCTTTGACTTACTTCGTTGAGATTGTGCGCTGCCTGTCACGTGATTGATTTTTAACTAACACGCTTTGGACATTGGAACAATTTACTATAACGAATAGATATAATAACTACATATTTGAAAAAAAATCCAACCCAAGCGGGGACTTTTGTAATTACTCCAGCGCGGCAGAATAACATAAGGGGGCATAGTCCAGTCATTATATACATTGAAAAGTGAAAATGAACCGAGAAAACCATTACCATTTATTTCCCGATTTTTCCGACGTAATGACTGGACTAGCACCCTGGCACCTTGTGAAGTATTTCCATAATAACTGAGCCCTTTAAGTAGGGCCGAACTACCTAAATGAATTCCCTTGTTTCATTAATGTTCGTTCGTTGTAGTACTTGTAACTATTTCACTTAAAATAACTAAAGACCCCCGGAATGGAATTTAATGCGCTTTAGCACAGATGATCATGACAATAATACCTTAAAACAAATGTAGTTAAGTTAAAAAATTGCTAATTGCTAGCTCTGACGTCACGCGAGAGGGAGATAATGTGTACAAGCCGACGGTTGGGCCAATCGTGCATCTCTATCGCTAGCTCCGCGCTCTCGCTTGCACGCTCAGGCTCAGGCGGAACGTGACACTTTTACGTGCGTGCAGCCGGTGTTCATCGATTTATAAAATGTTATCACGTCAAAAATAATGATAATGAGGCTATGAAATTAAATGGTACCATTTAAATTACTAGTATGGTCAGTTTATTAGGCATTCTATTTATTTCGCGGCCAATACGAAGTTCTCAAAATAAAATAAATCATTAATTGCCCACTTACCTTTCTTGACTACTTCACTCATGTTCGTTAATGCTCTAGAGCTCTCTTCTACTTCTTTGCCCGCTGACACCACCAAGTCTAACAGTTCATCTACATCCGTGTCCGCCGTAACCATGCCGAATCTAAAACGGAACATTGTAAAAAAAGAGTTATGGTGTTAAAAATATGTTTCACGTTAACCAAAACAAAAAAAAACTGACATGACATGACTGGACTACAAATGCTCGTATTCATCACACGAACATCTGCCCCCCACTGGGATTCGAACCCGGGACCTCTCGAATTGGCAACACCATTAAGTACGGCGTACAAACCATTTGGCCACGGAGGTCGTCAAAAAAAAGAAGAAAAAATGGTTGCCTGTAAAGTCGGTTTTACGGGCGAAGATTTTAAGTGACAACGTCTTTTTCTCGGTAGAATATTTATTGATATGAATATAATTAAATTGCACAATAGGAACAAGGAATTGAATGAAAATAAGAATTGCACAAATTTTAACTATAGAAATATATTTTGTTTACTAAAACATTGTACATGTAAACTTAAACTTAACACGAGAGACTCATCGTAACGTTACCGAGCGTTACACTTTTTCATAAGTGACTCCCAGCCGCAACCTAATTTAAGACGTTGTCACGTCAAAAAAAAAGGAGTTATGTTGTTAAAAATATGTTTTCTGTATTGGAATTTGATTCCTAAAATTACGTTAACCCATTCGAGTATGCTGTAAATCTTCATTTTCTTTTTTGTAGTGCCCCTCTCTCTTATGAAATGAAATGGAATGAAAAGTCATTTATTCAGTCAAGGCTGTTACAAGCACTTGTGAAGGTCAAGTAGCTACGCCATCGGTTCGCAAAACTACGGCGGGAGATCTTGTACTGAGAAGAACAGGCAAGAAACTCAGCAAGGGCTGCTTTTTTCTCTCTGTATTGATATATACAGAGCCGTCAAGTTGAAAAATGACTTCAGAGATAAGGTGAAAAATGACTTCAGAGATAAATTATGCCATTTAAGGTTTTCCAGTTGGACTAAATTTAGAAAAGAAATCTTGCGAATTTAATTTCTTTTGAAGAGTGCTCCGTCTTTTCTATTCTCACTGTTAAAAGATGATAACTCACCTAACGCAAGCCAGTCCATCTTCGCCTTCCCCACAAGAAAACGCGCCGTCGGTAACTCTCAAGGTTTCTACAAGCTGCCTGTTTAGCGAGTTCAGTTCATCTACCGAAGCGTCCTCCCAGCCCGCTGGTACATATCTGACGCCTCCAAGACCTGTTTGACGCAAACATATAATAGTAATATTTATTAATTTCCTTTGTATTAAAAATGCGAAAGTGTGTCTGTCTATTAGCTCTTCACGTTTAAACTACTGAACCGATTTCGATGACATTTTATACAAAATACTGTAAGGTGTCAGGATGGGGTTCGGAATTCTTGCCGGTTCGCGCTTTACAGCTCTTTATTCATATAAACACACAATACTATACTCCTTTTACTATACAAGTCTTTTAACAGTCTCACTTGAACACATTACTCGCACTTTGATCGCCTTAGTATTCGATCCGAAATCGCTGTTGAAACTCTGACTGCCTTGGCTTATTTAAACATCCGAGCAGTAACATGATTAAAAAACCAATTGAGCATCGGCGAGTACGTAGTACCTAGGTTGCTTTCCAATTACAGCATTATTGCGCATTATGCGGCATAATGCTTAACGTTGAGTGTTCCAACTACAGCAACGCTTCGCACAATTGAGCACTCTCAAAAGTGATGCTTTCGTGTGATGCGTGCAATGGTACCAACTTAGAGACAGAAAATTAACAAGTGTTTTTTCTTTAAGTTGGCATTGATCGAAATGTTTTATTTATATGTTATCGTTAGTAATATTATTTATTGTTGAAAAATTATTAAAGCTTTCGTTTCATTAAATAGTTTTTTTTAAATAATCAAAGTTCATTCAAACTGTTAAAAAATAAATATAAGTATGGATGAATGTACAAACATTGTCTTTTTTTTTCAACACTGAACTTAGCGCACTCTGCTGGTGCATTTGAAAACTAATTCACGTTCCAATTAAGCAACAGCATAATTGGGCTTGTGCGGCACTGAGTCGCATTATGCTCTGTAATTGGAAAGCATACCTAGTTATACGTAGGTATCGCGCATGAGTTACAATAAGTGCAGATGTCGTTGCACTTTCACCCTTACACCGCACTGCATATAGCTTATATTAGAATGAACCACACCAGTCGGCCTCAAGCCGCGGCGCTCTGGTTAAAACTGTTTCCAGTATGTTCGCGATTTTGGTTCGAGACCGTTTGTGACAATAGTTTGAGTCTCGGAAAACGACATTAGATAGTTTTTATCCTAGAAATCACTGTTTAAGGGGGTAATTAAATGGGGGGGGGGGGGTGGATTTTTGTACAGGAAACCAATTTTCCCACGCAATAAGTAGCGGGAGTCGGGCACCCACTAGTATTATATAATTTGAACGGGTGAACTTTCTTTTAACTCGATCAAATATAGTCTGTATTACTCGATGGTTAATGTAGAATTCCAATGGTGAACGAATTTTGGAAATCGGTTCAATATTTGCCCCTAAGTTTTTAAGCATTTACTCGTTACAAAGATAGAAAAATTCAAATCTTTCGCCTTTGTTATATTACAGATACAGATGAGCTATTCCGAACAGCGGTATCTACGAGTATAGTTGACGAACGAAACCAGACGGTTTGCAAAGAATTAAATGTGATGCGCGCATATGATTATCATAGATGTGGTTGTCATGCTATTTTGAGAAAATATTGAAAATAAACTACAAATTCAAGCGTTTATTGCAAACATTAGACTTTGATTTTAAGACTTTGACGACCTCCGTGGTCTAGTGGTTTGTACGCCGGGTTTCATGGTGTCGCCGACTCGAGAGGTCCCGGGTTCGAATCCCGGTGGGGGCAGATTTTGTGTTATAAACACGAGCATTTGCACTCCAGTCATGGATGTTTTTATATGTATTTCTATATAAATATACTATTATGTACTTTATATGTATTCTATCCGTTACTCTAGTATCCCATAACACAAGCCTTACAGTGCTTACTTTGGGACTAGGCTAATTGGTGTGAGTGTTGGAAATATTTATTATTATTTATTATTAGGTAAGATAGAAAAATGGGAGCTCTCAATCACGCTACGCAATTGGAAAACCGTAACACATATTTTTTCAAGTTCTATAATTTTAACAGAATTATGTCATAATTACTGAGTACTTCTAGCTGACTAGTAGTGTAAGTAAGTATTGCTAGTTCGGGTCATATTCAAATATATGAAAAAGAAAACAAGATTAAAATACCCAATTTAAGTTATAATTTTATTTTTTTAAGCATGTAACTGCTTGATGTTTAAATCTAAAGAAAATATAACTAGAAAAAATTCCACGCGGGCCAGGCAGCAGACGGGACTCGAACCCGCACTCTTCGCTATCCGGGCGAATGTGCTGACCAATTATATTACCGCGGCCTTGACGGCCGCGTCGAAATTCTTCTAGCCATTCTTAAGCTGCAAGGCAGCGCCATTTCTTCGCATTGTAGGTAACCCACAATGTTAAATACCCAATTTAAGTTAATGTCAATACAATTACATACTAGTCCTCTAAATTCTTACTCACCGGCCCATCCCGGAACATGCACTCTTCTCAGACAAGGGTGGTTTTCAACTCGCTGCTGGAAAGGCTCCCTCAAAGACACTGTAGCATGTAGCACGTGTAACTGGGCTTCCAGTTCTGAAGCCCACACTTGGACTTTACGTTCGTCTAGCAACGACCCTTCTAAAGGACAGTACCTGAGCACTACCCCGTGTGACTCAGTCTCGCACACTTCTATGCTTATCTGTTGGAAAAATGTTCACAAAACTCTTGTACAAATTGTGAGCGGAAAAAGTTGAGAACAACTCAGTTAAAATACTTGATTGAAACCAACGACTGAGAGATGGAGTGTAGCTTTTCTTTTGACAAATGTTTGACCTGGATTGGACTAATCGACTGAAGAATAATAATAAAAGTCATAAAAATGGGTCTTAAAAATTCGATGTTAGAAAGGTTCCCAAAGACAATGTAACACGCACGTGATGTGTTACACGTATCACGTGTCGTGTAACATGTATCACACGACTTGTAACATGTAGCACGTGCCGTGTAACATGTAGCACGTGTAACGCACGTGGGCTTCCAGTTCTGAAGCCGACGCTTCGACTTTATCTTCGCAACTCCTCTAGCAACTACCTTTCTAAAGGACAGTACCTGAGTGCCTACCCCGTGTGACTGAGACTCGCACACTTCTATACTTGTCTATTGGAAAAAGTTAAGAGCAACTCAGTTAAAACTAAAGGTGGATTGTTTGATGGTGCAAGTTAATAGTGCATCCGGTACAAGGAGTTCTAACCTACGTGGGGCGGGAACTATTTCTTTTTTATAAATTAGTTTGTCAGAAGTAATATACTTAATAAAGTTTCTCCCCACTATGGTGATAGTGATCAAGCTATTACCACTTGAAAATGACAGATTCCAACTTCTTCTGTACATCCTGTTACATACCTTAAGATTGCCGTCACAAAAGGTTTCCCTAACCGAATTTATATATATATATACCGTAAGTGAGGGTTACTTTAGCTCGGACGGGTAACTTTGTCCCAAATCAGAAAAAATATTGAACTTGCCGCCCCATCAGTATCTCTTGGGTGACCGTAATAGTTCCAGTTGAAAATCACAGATAGCCATATGGCGCAGTGTGGTGTTGTTTTACCGACATCGTTCCTGTATCAAGTTGTCATTGTAACGCGGGATTTTTTGTAACTGAAATAGTTCGCAAATTCATGCGTAAACTTTCTCAAAACTGTGGTTTTCGGTAAGTTTACAATTTTTTCTTTAACTTAATTATTTTCGGGTAAAAACATTCATTTGTGCATACAATATGCTAATGGTGATCTGTTATAAGGGTTACTTAACCCCAACATGGCTTAAAATGAGTTTTTTTCACAGAGAAAACTCAACGAGCTAAAGTAACCCTCCTTAAGGTCAACTTTGGCCCAAAATTAAAAAAATATTTATGAACCCTTAAATATTATTTTTTCCTATTTTCGTATGATAATTTTGTAACTTATACTTTAAAGTTCACAATGGAAAGATATAAACGTGACATATTCATCACAAAGAGAAGCTACAATTTTATTTGAAAAAAGTGCACATTTTAGGTCAAAGTAACCCGCAGTTACTCGGTATATATATTATTGGTGAAGAGAAGTCTATTTTCTATTAAATTTTAATGTATCAGTCGCCAATAAAAAAGTAAAAAATGGGACACTTTTGATTGGCACTATAAAAACAGGTTATCATGAGTGGTATGAAATTACATATAAACAAAACCTTAATACCTTCATAATAAGACTCACACTCACCATTTCCGCATCTCTCTGCAACACTTGTCCTAGCCAAGAGTTAAGTTTATCATAGTAAGGCGGTGGTTTCTCGACGTCGGGCGGCGCGAACTGAAACGCTACGCAAGCAGATGCTTGGCTCAGTGCTTCCTGTGAAATTAAACAAAGGCTCATGAACGAAAAGATACTCCATTATTTCATATATTTCTTTGTAGGATGATTAAGAATTTCACTTACGATAATGTCCACATTCGGTGGTTCGTCGCCACCCGGCCTATCACTCTGTAACAATATAAATCATAAAATTAGATAATCTCGCCTACTAATTGGGCTTATATCAATTGAAAGTGAAGGGGCTTGCGAGAAGAGATCACGCGTTCAAATTAACTTCTTATGTTGTGAAGAAAGTCATCAATATGCTGTGCATAATATCTTCTACTTCATCATCATGATCATCATCAGCCAATTAATGTCCACACTGCTGAAGCACAGGCCTTCCCTGTAGATAGAATAGAGAGATTGGGCCATAACCCACCACGCGGGCCCAGTGCGTATTGGCGGGTGCTAACGACTGCAAATGCAGCCCGGACCAACGGCTTAACGTGCCTTCTGAAGCACGGCGACTGTCTGCGAAAGTTGCTTAACTTCAACGATCGCAGCCGAACGCGCTAACCATTTGCACCATCGAGCTCCTCCATCATATTCTATTTAAGCCAACCAAACAAGGCCAGTTTCGGTTTTTGTCACACGATCAAAGATTACGTTGGATCTGTTAGTGCGACATGTACTATTTCTAAGCTATAATGGTTCAAACTTGGATACATATATTTGTGACTAGCGGCCCGCCCTCGCTTCGCTTCCGTGAAGAGCTGAAGTATAGACTACAGTTTTTGTTCTCAGGCTTTTATTATACACAATGACATTCATCTATGATTCTTCTTATACCTGCATGCAAAGTCTCAGCCCGATCGGTTTAAAATTGACAAAGTTTCATACAAACTTTCATTCCCTATTTTATCCCCTTGGGGGTAGAATTGATCAAAATCCTTTCTTAGCGGATGCCTACGTCATAACATCTACCTGCATGCCAAATTTCAGCCCGATTCGTCCAGTGGTTTGGGCTGTGCGTTGATAGATCACTATGTCAGTCAGTCACCTTTGAGTTTTATATATTTAGATTAAAATTTTAGAATAAAGGCTGTGTTGAGTCGTAGCTGGAGTTTTCTCGCCCACGCCGCCCTTATACACATCTCATCTAAAGGGGCAATGCGGGTAACTGATGCAATAATCCTTTTTAGATCAATCGAGATTTAGCAAATTTGGTTGGCCTCAAGGTTGGAGGGAAGGAATGATGTGTTAGACTGAACCTAAGTGTTAGAGATTTACCAGCAGTCGAAGTGATGCTGAAACTTGGCATTATAGACTTATCTGGAGTCAAAGTGGTACTGACACTTGGTATTACATACTAATATATATAATAATATAATACTACTAACCTAGAGGATCTGAATGTTGAAGGTGGGAAGGGATGCTGAAACTGAGTATTGAAGACTTACCAAGAGTCGGAAGTGATACTAAAATTTAGCATCAATGACTTACCGGGTTTTATAGATCTAGCAGTTTAATGCTTAAAACAACAATATAATAGACTTACCAGTAACCGAAGCTGTGCTTGCGAGACGACCGCATTCACCGCCCTAGCGGATCTGATGGTTGAAGATGGGAGGGAATGCTGAAACTGAGTATTGAAGACTTACCAAGAGTCGGAAGTGATAGTGTTATTTGACATCAAGGGCTTACCCGGTTTTATAAATCTAGCAGTTTAATGCTTAAAATAACAATATAAAAGACTTACCAGTTAGCTGAAGCTGTGCTTGCGAGACGACCGCATTCACCGCCCTAGTGGATCTGAAGGTTGAAGATGGGAGGGAATGCTGAAACTGAGTGTTAAAGACTTACCAAGAGTCGGAAGTGATACTAAAATTTAGCATCAATGACTTACCGGGTTTTATAGATCTAGCAATTTAATGCTTCCCTCATCCCTCTCATCAGCCTATTAATGTCCCCACTGCTGGGGCACAGGCCTTCCCTATGGATGGAATAGGGAGATCGGGCCATGGCCCACCACGCGGGCCCAGTGCGGATTGGTGGGTGCTAACGACTACAGATGCAGCCGGGATCAACGGCTTAACGTGCCTTCCAAAGCATGGAGGAGCTCGAGATAGTAAGTTTTGGTCACCCATCCAATGACCGACCACTGCGAAAGTTGCTAAATTTCAACGATCGCAGCCGAACGCGCTAACCACTTGCGCCATCGACCTCCTCACTGTTTAATGCTTAAAACAACAATATACTAGATTTACCAGTAGCCGAAGCTGTGCTTGCGAGACGACCGCATGCGCCGCCCTAGCGGATTTGAAAGCTGCGTTGAGTCGTAATTGCAATCTCCTCGTCCCCGCCGCCCTTATACACGTCCAAAGGGGTAAGGCGGGTAAACGTCCTCCACCCCCTGTAAGCCCTGCAAGCGCTGCTAACGCCCCTTCTCTGCTACCCGCCTTTTGAGTAAAAATTACAATATATTATTAATGTGTGTAACATCTTTTCTCTCGCTTTCCTGCAATTTGTGGGAGTGATTTCGTGGAATGGGATTAGGGATTGCAATCCAGAAAAACGGATCCGGTAATCCGGCAGATCCGGCATCATTTGACGTTTACCGGATCCGGTACCAATATACCGGATCCGGTGCTACAATAAAGCCGACAAGTGTAGAAGCTGAACGGGCCTTTTCGGCCGCAGGCTATATTTGCAGCTCTATTAGAAGTCGTTTAGCTGATGACACAATTAACAATATTTGTTTTCTACAATCTTTTTTTCAAAATCAATATTGGTTTTCTTTTAATACTTATATTTTCTTACAATTATTAATTGAAAGAATTATTTATCGTAAGTTGATTAAACTAAAGAGTTCTAAACTCATTATTGTGATAATTTTTGCCATTCATTCGTTCGTCAGATTCATCAAATCATGTCTGTCTTAAATACCTATAAGACTTATTTGTAGCATTCTTAAATACTTTAATAATGATTTAGATCTCATTTCAGTTAATTACGTAAGGTTGAATCTATTAGATATTATAGTTACTTGATAATTAATATTGTTACTCATAAATTGATCTATCTGTGAAAGTGATATCTAGAAAGACTGAGCTACTCGTTACGCCGTAAAATTATTACTCGTTACTCTTACACTACCAAATGTTAATTGTTTTCTTGTTGTGTATTTGTCTTAACATTGGTTAAGAAAAAAAGTCGATTCTATATATTTGTGATTTATTTTTTATAAACTACGTACATATAAGTGCAGTGACACTTGATTAACTCACTTGTTTTGTACGAAAAAGCGAAAATCATCCTGATTTGATCAATCCGGCCGGATCCGGTCCGATCCGGTCGGATTGATGGGGATCCGGTCCGATCCGGTCGGATTGATGGGAATCCAGTCGTATCCGGTCGGACTGAAAATGACGCCGGATTGCAATCCCTAAATGGGACGGAAGTGTGTAACAGGAAGTCGCGAAGGCGCGCGCTATTCGATTTGACGAATGAGCGCGCGGTTTTAGAGTTGACCGTCAAATAGTACCAATCAATTTTCTGAGAGGTCGGTACTGTCAGCCATCAGCTGTGCACTTAAGATACAGTGTTGTAAGTGTAAATACGGTGTATAAAGTTTGCTGTTATATAAATCAATTTATATACTTCAACTACATAAATCAACATTGACTGTTGATAATAAGTCTCAATAAAGTGCAGATCATTGGAAAAAAATCAAGTAAGTAATAAAAAATAATGATGATGCTTTTTTTTTAATTGACAAAATGACGACCTCCGTGGCCGAGTGGTTTGTACGCCGGGTTTCATGGTGTCGCCGACTTGAAAGGTACCGGGTTCGAATCCCGGTGGGGGTAGATGTTTTGTGTGATGAATACCTACGAGCATTTGTACCCGAGTCATGGATGTACATATAATATGTATTTTTAAATTACTTTCCTATTACACAAGCCTTACATTGCTAACTTAATTAGCCTAGTAATTGGTGTGTGTAGGTTTTTTTTTTTTATTATTTATTAATTAGATATTATTACTGGCTGTTTCTTATTTTAACGAGAAATGAGCATAGACTAGTTACACCGTGTTTGGTTCATATCACTCAAGTCAAGTGCCACTTGTAATTCAATGAACACAGACATACATAGAGTTGCTAATAAAAGTTTATTCTTCTTTATTAATAAGGGGGGTGATGTTATAATTGTATGTTCAGACTAAATACCGCAACTGTATTTTAAAGCGGTTATCTCGGGCCGATTGAGATGAAATTTAAAATCGTCGTTGTAGACGGCATTCTAAATCCAATATGGCGGACGGCACACGATGGCGAGCGCGAGCTAGTAATTTTGTTGTGCATTCCCACGTGCATGGTTATTTAATGGCAAAAAAATGGAATGCCCTATGTGAAAAATTAGGAAAAACCGAAAAGATTTAATAGGTCATTTAAATGCAGTAGGTATAATGAACGAATATGATGAAAAACGTTATATTTAAAAAAAATGTTACAGCAGTGAAAGTAATTAAAAAAAAATCAAGTAATGGTGGTAATCGTACGCATTTTTTAGGGTTGTCATAAGCTGGTGTAAAACATTTTTTTTAATTTAAAAGTGAAAAAATAAAAGTGGTCTGAAAGGCGTCAAACTTTCATAGGTTATTCTTTATAAGGAACACATTAACACCCCTAAGTTTTATTTCGGACTTTTGAAACATCCTGTAAATAAATTTTAGTTTATTAATCATTATAAAATTTGCCATGTATTACAAAGTCACTAAGAAGTAAGTTACTGTTAAATAAAATGAAAACTTACCGCATTAACACCTTTGGAGTGCTCATTGGCAGTTATTGCTTCAGGTATTTTATAAAATGTCTTTGTGCACACTAAGGAATAAAATCTAATTAGAATCATAGAGAATCAAAAGCATTACATGATAAGAGAAATGTACAAAATATGCTTTGTTTGGCAAATCCATTAAAAAAACTTTTTATAGATTTCTATAGATAATACTTTAATTTTTTTTCTATTGGTCATACCAGAGGAGTAACAACCGCTGGAAACAAGTACTTATTTGTAAGAATATGAATATGTACAACGACATATAAAGTTTAAAAATAATGTAAAGGATACAACAGTGGGTAGCCCGGGAACTCCAAACCAGGGCCCTGGTGTTAACGTCACCGAATCCGCTAATGTAAAACTCTGAAAAAGATTAATAATAAAATTCTAATATAGGTTAATAATAATATATGTTTTTTTAATATTTTTATCATTATATTTTTTTCTAGTAAAATATTCTTTACTCATTTTTATAATGTCATCAACAACAAAAAACAGTCAAGGCAAATGATATAGTAGGCTATTTGACAGTAAAATTTAAGTATGCACCCATTTTGGCATGTATATTTAACATGAATACTGGGAGCGATTTCACTATTCTGCCAAAAAAAAGTACATAGTTACCAATATTACTAAAATTAGTGAAACCGAAAATGATTTTTTCATCTACTGTAACGTGACCGAAAATGTCGAGGATTGGCGGAGCCTAAAATTACGTCACCTGCTTGTAAACATGTTAAGTATGCAAGCTAGTATCAAATGTATTATTCTTTATAAGTCCAATCTTTTACATTAATTTTGAATGTTGATATCTGGGTTTAATAATATTAATTGGTAATTTAATACTAATCTTACTTGATCCTTGCCAGTAGCAGCAGGTAGGGCTAATGCATGCCCTCTGACATGCAAATGTATGTTTCTCTTTGAACATATCTCTCCCAATTCCAGTAGCGGTGAGCCCCAACCTAATGGTGGAGCCCCAACCTCCCCTAACACTAGTAAAGGGGTTCTATTAGCCGCTACGTCTTCATCGCATAGCCTTTCCAATGCTTGTATGTCCATTCCTTTGCCTGTTAAGATGATTTAAAAGATTGGATACTTTAATGGCCTGTACTTTAATGGCTTATATAATCTAATACAAATTTATTTAATTATATAATCTGTTACAAATGTTCACAGATGCAGTTTGGATGAATTTTAGTAAAGATATTAAAGGAGATAGTTCTCATTGGAACAGTAATCCCTATTTGATAATATGTTACGGACTATATTTAATATAAATGATTTCCAAAACAGGGCTAACTGAACATATTTTATTGTGCACATACAATTAGAAAAGGTAAGGAGATAGATGGGTATTCGCTTTGTTTAGTATTTTATTGAGAATCATTTAAATAAGACCCAAAAAGTAATAAAAACAAATTAAATTATCAATGCTTACCTGTAGCATTTACTGGAACTGGTCTAACACATGCTAGTGGTAGGCCCAGTTGTCGGCACAAGTGCTGGACTATGCCCAATGGGCTAGCCACACAGCTGTATATGCATGGCAAACGGTTTGTGAATGCTAATGCTGCAATAGATAGAAAGTATATAAATTATAGATTCTTTCCAAAATGCAAACTAACAAAGCAAACAAAGTAATTTGAAATAAGTATTTGTGCATGCCCATTTTGGACACGGCCTAAAACTGTATTTGTGTGTGTGTGTCTGTAATTATATATTAATAATTTTCCACCTTAAAAGTCTTGGCTAAAAAAATTATCAAAATTGACAATGCAAAATGTTATGTCTGTTTTGCTCAATATTCTTTCTTGTTTTTTTTCCATTAAATTCTTTTTAAATAGTTTATTATTCTACATTATCACTTCTAGTCTATGGTACTCATTCATTACTTTCCATTGACAGTACACATCTATCAACAGACAGGACCATTCAGAATTATTTTTCAGTCTAGGCCCTTGTGAACGTCAACTGTATGCCATTATTTTCGTAAATCTACAGAAGGAGACCTTGTACTTGTACAAGAAACTCGGTAAGGGCTACTTTTTTCTCCCTTTTTGATTTCATACAATATCTTAAAATAATCAATCTAATAATGCTCTGTCTGTTGATAGATGTGTTCTATCAAGGGAGATAAAGTAAAATATGTGGGTATAACAAGGACTTTTATGTATTTCAGCAGCACCTTTGATGTTCTGCCTTAGTGTCAAACCATAAGGGAACTGTGAATGAATATAGAAAATATAATAAAACTGCTGTACCTCCATCTTCCAGGTATCTTGGGTATCTATGATGTAACAACATCCGTGTTACTCTCACAAGACCTTCAAGCTGCTCGTGGTGGTAATATGCGTTATAGTCAGCCAATCTGAAAAACATTTTTTTTGTTCATTTTCAGACTTCACAATGACGATGCCATAATGTTTTATACACCTTAAACACTTTTCCAGCCGGCATACTATACAACGTAAACAAAACCTCAAATACCTTGTTCATTCACCAATACTTATCTAGATAATACCTTGTCTCTTTTAATTTGAATATTGAAAGAATCATCACTAAATGAGACACCGCCATAATCAACAAAAATTTAAATGAATTGAATTGTTTTTAAGTATTGTCATTATGACACAATTTTTTTACATTATTAAAAAATAACTTAGGTGATCAAGTTTTACTTCGAACTTTTACTTATTGAATTTTTCACAAAATTACAATTACTATTATTTATGTAGGTTCATCCAATATAAAAAATTACACATACAAAGTTAGTTTCCGGTGATAACAAATTAGATAAAACAAATTGAACAGGAACTTCAAACAAAAAAATATTGTATTCATAGTTTCATATGTGCTCCCACACTAACCATTACCATTAAACTAACAAAAATCCAAACAAAACTAACTTCATGTTTTCAGATTGAATTATTATAGTTTTTTTTTTACAATAACAGTGCAATTATTTACATCAGCACTAGCAATATTGTGTTACTAATCTTATCCAGTTAATTATAAACCAAGGTGAAATGATAACACAAGTAGCCATAAAACAGGGATTTATGGTTATTTGTAAAAGCTATTAAAATATACTACTGTATGTACCTGAACATATGGGCCATCCAGCGTGTAGTTTCGCTAGCTATATGAGCACCAAGCCTTGCAGCATGAGAGCGCTCTAGTCTCCCAAACAGAGCACAGATACTATGCGACAGAATGGTCGCCCGAGTCACAGCATCGGTCGGTAGCAAAGGAGGTTCAACACTCTCACAGTTGTGATCAGTCTTGAGCACCATGTCTTCTAAAACTTTCAAAATCTCATCCATAGGCATTTCTTCCGGCTCAAAGAAACCGGCGCTGATTTTACGGGTCTCTCTCTTCTTCTCGTCATCTAATGAGTCCTGGGCGTTGACCCCTGCTTCCAGCCGGCCTACCACCTCAGAAACTTGGAATTCCAGACCACCAAAGGGACGCCGGCCCTAAAGACATGATAACACAATTACTATCGGCCATAGATACCGATTTAAATTCGAAGAAATATGTAAAGTTTTACCGTTTCTGGTTGAGCCTCATTGGCCGGGCTCGGTATTTTAGATTCTGCATCTAAAGCCTGTGCATCTCCCATGCTGCGTGGCGAATTTGCTACAATTTTATTACTGAACTTTACAACTAAAGACTAATAAAGAAGTGAAGTAACGTAAACGTCACTCTCACTCAATGTTTTGACGTGGGACGTGGTGGTAGCAGGATAATAGGTATGGTGGGCCAGTGAATTTTTTTGCGGCAGAATTCTTGTGGATACAGACCTTTATGCCGGTACTTCACTTGGCTTTTCATATTTGTTATTTGTAAAGTTGACAGCAGTCTAGTTCTGTTTTTTGTTTTTTGAGGAATGAAAAGGACAGACACATTTCAAGTTTACAAATAGCAAACTGGAATAGCCAAGTGAAGTGCCGTCATTAGAGCATAGACCATGGACTATGGTCCATGTTGCGTAGATAAAGATTACTTGCTCATCTTTATAGTGTAGGCTAGATCGAAATCCTAGATCCCCATGTATGTTATTAAATCAAATAAATCGTTTTCTTCAAGTGCGTTGGCGTCTTATTTTAATTATTCATAAATTCATTCATAGTGGATATTATGAAATAAAAATAGTGTGATTTTGTGTTACAACCGTCGTCTGCGCTACTGAAAAAATTGTGAATTCTATAAACTATACGCTATTCCGGTCAAGTCGATGTGTAGTGTTGACTACCTCACAGAAGCTTATCGAGAAATTTAACTCAACACATTTCGTGCCAAACACTCCAAGAAACATTAGAATGCTTCACACTCACATTGGTGTCGATTCTAGCGTGATTCTCTAAACTTAAAACTAAATTTAACATCAGTCTCTATTTTCATTTTGTATTGAGAATGACAAGGATGCACTGTTGTCAAAATTAAGTTTAGCTTTAGAGAATCATGTCAGAATCGACATCATTATAAGGTAAAAAAAATAACAAAGGGAACTGAAAAGTAGGCTGTATGAGCATAGTTCCCTTTGTCTTTCCTAAAAAGGGAGAACATATGAAAAAAAATTGACACTGACAGTGACATTTACATATTTTTTACGGTACAAATCGGAATTTTAATTAGTTGAAAATTGCTAATAAAACCGAATAATGTCACTAGCGAAAATATTTTCACTGTCTTCAAGAGGTAAACTACTTTAATTTTAATTATTAGGTTGAGTGTTCGTATTATTCAATTCATTTTTCATTACGCAACTCAATTTGTTTATAACCTCTAGTGCGTATTTACCAGCTGATTCGATAATTTGAATTGTATCTATTTATACCATATTATGATGTTATACATTCAATATATTTATAAATATATTTATTATGATGTTATTATATTGTTTATTTTTAATGCGCCTAATGATGTATCATGAAATCGAGCATACTTAAGTTGATAAATGGGTACCACTTTGTGAATATTTTAATACTTTTTCCAGTGCGTGCTGCAGGAGCCAATACTGTTCTTGTACGCTATGCAAGCTCAGGAAAAGAAGGACAAGTAGAAAAAGTGTATCCACCAAATATTCCTGGCTACAAGTATGTTAATGCTGTAGATCCTATCATGGCTTTCAAGGAGATGTCTGATAGAGCAGCTCAGACTATATTTTGGACTGAGCTGGCAAGAGGATTTGCTGTAACACTGGCCCATATTTTCAAGGTATGGTTAGGGATCATTTATTTACGATGTACTTGGTGTTAGTAAAGAGTAATGTAAACACATATCTTTAAACTAAAAGCTGTTTAAAAAGACTGATTTACACATCGGTTAGTTCAGTTGTGTATTAAAAAAATCTGACAGTTAAACAGTATGTACTTAACTGAAAAATTTTTTGTAGAAAATGTTGCTTTTTTTTTTTTCTGATGCTTCGCCGCCCTCTGCCGCTGCATGCTCACTTCGCTTCCTTGGCTCGCATGTTATGGTAACAACACCAGACCAAAACTAACATTATTATAATTATATTATTAATATTATATTTCAAATGGATTAAGTGATTAATCAATATTTTTGAAGTATTATTATTCTATGGTCTAATTTCTTGTCCAAAACATTACTGTACAGAGTAGTAAATGTATGGGCAAATGTCTATTTTTATTAAATTAATATAGATTTAAGTATGTAATGAAAACAAATCAATATGTACTCATATGTCAGTCAATCCCTGCATATAACTTGAAGCAGAACTATATTTATTTGTAGCAATGTATTGACAGCGTTCTCACTCTAACCATATTAAATGTATTGTTAACGCATGATTAAAAAGTTCTACCTGCACAGGAATGTCGCTCCATTTCTGTAGTTTTCATTTCTAACCAGTAGGAGCAGCTTTGTCCCACATGATCAAAACCCCTCTCTACACTTGTCACTCTACACAATTCAAATTTTCTGCGCACTCAAATTTTTGCAACTTTTTCTTTCATTTATTTATTTATTTTATAAACACACTTATTAAAAAAAAACAACTGAGCTTTATTAAAGATTACGTAATATGCCGATACATGTATGAAACAGATGGCTTTGATGCATCACAACACAAACCAACAGATAAGTGTAGTTCTGCCATTAGTCATTCAATATTGTTTATGAAGAGTTGTGTTAATTTGTGATTGAGAAGAATTATCTAAAAAAAAATATTACTGGTGTAATTTATTAGGGTACTAATTTAGTTGGCAGAAAAGACTAAAATATTAGCCTATTAATAATAATTTAAATAACACTCAGAATTTTTATTTTTTATTTATGTTTTAGGAGCCTGCAACTATCAACTACCCCTTTGAGAAAGGGCCACTTTCCCCTCGTTTCAGAGGCGAGCATGCCCTCCGTCGATACCCATCTGGTGAAGAAAGGTGCATTGCCTGTAAACTATGTGAAGCCATCTGTCCAGCACAGGTTTGTTTTTTTTTATATAACTAGGTAGGCAAATGACTCTACCCCACCTGATGTTAAGTGGTGATAAAGTCCAAACGCGAAGATAGCTGGTACAGCAGTCATAAACTGCTACACCAACCATCCTCACCTTGCCGGCCCGCAAAAATGCTTCTTCACACCTCTCTTAAAGGACCCCAGATTATAGGAAGGTGGAAACACGTGCATGGGTAAAAAAAAAACTTGCGAATAGTATGTGTATGTAGTTTGTTATGCGGGCTTTTAATGACTTAAATCAATATGTAATTAATGGACAACCCTTGTTCAGCATTGACAAGTTCCATACCTGTTTATATTTATGAATCAGCCCTACCTATGTTTTAAAACATATTTTTGGACATTTATTTCATAGCAACTTTCGTTCAGTTAATTTTAAATGGAACTTACTTCCGTTTTCCTGGTTTCAGGCCATCACCATTGAAGCTGAAGAACGTAAAGATGGTTCCAGAAGGACAACGCGTTACGACATTGATATGACTAAGTGCATTTACTGTGGATTCTGTCAGGTGTGTGTGCGAATAAAAATAATAGTATTTAAAGTTAGGACTTAGTAATCAGTCTAGTTTACGATGGCAAATATTAGAATTTAGATTCATGAAATAAGTTAATGTAGTGGCAGCTTATTCATGCCCTTTTAAAAAAGTGCTGGACAGTGGCGGGGCAAGACCTAAATTTGATGTGGGCAAGAAATTTCGCGAGGCCCTGTTCTGTGGCGACCTGAAGACGGATTTAATAAAAAAAGAAATTCGCTTTTAAGTAATGCTTAAAAGATTTTGAGGCGCGAGGCCCCTTGTACCGCGAGGCCGTAGGCGGTGGCCCACGTCGCCCACGCCTTACGCCGCCTCTGGTGCTGGATGGGAGACAACAAATTCGTTAAAAGGATTTTGTAATATATTGGCCCTGGTCGGAGTCTCAGAGCGCCCTCTAGTTGAGCCGACCACTTCAGGTTCGAGTGGTCTAGAGTGTCCAGACGGAGAGGAGACTCTCCCCGTGGGGAGATTCCATCCGCCTGAATACCTCTAGAGGCACTTGATGATCATCTGCGACCAACAGCATAAACACTCAAAAATAAAACACAAGGCGGCCATTAACACACTGAACGTTTATTTTTTATAGGCTTTCCGACTTTAGCATACTTAGATAAATTTAAATATACATATAACTAGCAAACCAGTGAACCAAATGTTCACCAAAACCTGATTTAAAAAAAAAGGTATTAAATTAATTGAGAACTTCGGAGATTTTGTGTGGTTTCGTTTGAAATTCGTGATTTCTCGAAAACCGGAAGTGCTACGTTACTCAAATCCGGTTTGTAGTCTTATCAGACTATTCTTAACTTATAACTTAAATATTCTCTTTATCTATCTCTTACGGTTTGGCCGCTGAAATAGCACCACAGACAGAGGGACGGACGGACTTGTCTAATAGATAAGAGACTAGCAAACCAGTGAACCAAATGTTCACCAAAACCTGATTTAAAAAAATATATATATATATTTAATTAATTGAGAACTTCGGAGATTTTGTGTGGCTTCGTTTGAAATTCGTGATTTCTCGAAAACCGGAAGTGCTACGTTACTCAAATCCGGTTTGTAGTCTTATCAGACTATTCTTAACTTATAACTTGAATATTCTCTTTATCTATCTCTTACGGTTTGGCCGCTGAAACAGCACCACAGACAGACGGACGGACGGACTTGTCTAATAGATAAGAGATGCCCAGGGCCTCCAATAGGTTAAAGACGGCCCTGTGTATGCCTATTTATAAGATCGACTGCGTTCTAGCAGTGGGGAAAACTGATTCTGACAGTGGTAGAAAATGAACTGTTAACAAAAATATTACAATTTCAGGAGGCTTGCCCTGTCGACGCGATTGTCGAAGGTCCCAACTTCGAGTTCTCTACTGAAACTCACGAAGAACTACTGTACAATAAAGAGAAATTGCTTTCCAACGGTGACAAATGGGAGAGCGAAATTGCATCTAATATCAGAGCGGATCACCTCTATCGCTAGAAATTACCCTGTTAGTGTAAATTAGAATACAATTTAAGGCATATTCTGTAAGAATGAGAAAAATATTGTGACCAAGGAAACTGTTTTAAATAACTTTCAGAACAAACCTAATAGATTTTTGCAAAATAAGCCTTAAAACTAGGAATAATAATAAATTATGATTGCTTTGTGATAATATATACTTCTCTCAGTTAGTATTGTTGTTTAATTTAACTCGGATTTTAAAGGTCATCGTCAGCCTATTCAGGTACCCACTGCTGGGGCACAAGCCTTCCCTATGGATGGAATAGGTATATTGGGCTCAGTGCGGATTGGTGGGTGCTAACGACTGCATATGCAGCCGGGACCAACGGCTTAACCTGCCTTCCGAAGCACGGAGGAGACTCGAGATAGTAAATTTTTGATCACCCATCCAATGACCGACCACTGTTAAAGTTGCTTAACTTCAACGATCGCAGCCGAACGCGTTAACCACTTGCGCCATCGAGCTCCTCAATTTTAAAGCGATGCGCGATTTGAAAGGTACTTTTATACAATGAAATACAAAGTTGATTTAAAAATTAATTTAATTAGTAAATATAAATTTAACTTACAGGTCACTTGCATGCTTAATTAAGATAATAATATCAAACAATTACAGGAACATTTCACTCAGAGATTCAATTTTTAATTTCTTAGTATATTATAAATAACATAATTTGAGATGACCGTTTTATTGTATTAGTTTGCTGACAAAATATTTGTATTAGTTAAATTACTTAAATTAATTTTTACGTAAATATTTTTTTTTCGTATCACAAATTATTTAACAGGGCAACCCAAATTACAAAATACTTAGAAAATCTCTAATAAAGAGTATAAATATTTTATTTTTTACACTTAGCAACCAACTTTATAATACTTATCATAATTACAAACGAAATAGATTCAATAAAAATTAAAAGCAAATCAAATCAAACATATTTAAAATAAAGTATCAATGAAATGAGAGCATTTTTTTCAATATTAATTCCAAAGCGATTTAATAAACCTTAGTTTAATGCATTTGGTAAATTCACTAAAAGACAAACTACAAGGTATGTTTTTATTATTGTAGACATGACAAAGCAAGTGAGTTGTACCCTTAGCACTATATTGTTATTTTTTAATTTTGTGAAAATTGCACGATGCACACCTAAAAAGGCTGCGAAACGTCAATAAATAAATAAAGTTTCGTGCATTAACCCATTAAAACTAGTTTTATTTAATGAGTGATGTGCGTGAAAACCTAAGAAACAAATAAATTGGGTATTCTCTTATAAACATCTTATTTTATTATTTGCATATTGTTACGTCACATCACAGGTTATATAAATTATTTCTTACTTAGAGTTCAGATGAATCAAGTCACATTGGACAAGCAAAATAAATAAATAATAATTATTATGATATCTCACAATTTTAGTAAATCTCTATAGTCATGTTCTTAAAAAAACAGTGGAGTACGTACAATACAATAGTAATGATACTTTGGATTAAATATTTAAAACTAAAAGGTAAGGTTACTGAACTATGTTTTGATTTGATTTACTAATTGGGGGGGGGGGGGGGTCAAAGCGTTTTAGTCAATTTGTATGATTTCCTCCTAGTATTTTGTAGCTATATCTTTCCAAATCTTCTTTCACCATATCGATACTGCGGTTAGCGTCAATTGTCAGCACCTCGCAACCGACGTCGGTGGAGTTCAACCAGTTCTCATAAGCATCATGAACCTAGGGGAGATTAGTAAAAATTTTTTTTGGTTGGTGGATACAATTACTTATATAATTATTTTTTTAAATATTTTAATTCAGATTTTCACTTATTTTAACGATGAATGCTTTTGACGACCTCCCGTGGCCGAGTGGTTTGTACGCCGGGTTTCATGGTGTTGCCGACTCGAGAGGTCCCGGGTTCGAATTCTTTGTGTGATGAATATGAGCATTTGTAGGTACTCCAGTCATGGATGTTTATTGTTTAATATGTATTTCTATATAAATATACTTATGTAATTATGTACTGTATATGTATTCTATCCGTTACCCTAGTATCCCATAACACAAGCCTTTCAGTGCTTACTTTGGGGCTAAGCTAATTGGTGTGTCGGAAAATATTTATTTATTTAATTTCTATTGAATTTATTATCAAGAATTCGATGAGTGAATCTTTTTTATTATTTTAGATGTTTTTTTTGACATAATATGTACGAAAGTTGGGCACATATCGAAGGTACTTCCCATTTAAACACACCCATTACCATAACAATTTATGAAGTATTTTATTACCTGAAATGATAATTATTTTTAACTTACTTGCTGTAAATACTCTAAAGGCACTTCAGATTCCTCTGTTCTGCCACGCTTTATCATCCTCTCGAACACCACTTCGGGTGAGGTTTTCAAATAAACTGCAAACGGAAGGAATTCATTAAATGCCATCATATTACCTTGACATTTTACAACAACATTTTTGATATCACAAAGTATCCAAGATCCAAGCCAAATAGAGCTATACTAACTACAAAATACTTATTTTACAAATAAATTATTCTTGAAAATTCTCCGTAATAATTAATTAGGCACATAATTAACTCTATAAATTAATAATAATTAGCTATTATTATTTCTCACCTATAAGATCTAAGCTAATGTCGAGATTTTTGGAAACATTTTCGTACCAATTGTTTAGAACTTGATACTCTGCATCGTGTAGGTAACCCTGCCTCTTTGCATTTTCAACAAAACAGAACCTGCTGTTTTGCACAGATCTGAAGTGAATTAAAAAAAAATGATAAGTAGATAGGTGTCCGGTGCGGAACAAATTTGAGCACGTTTTCTTTCTTGCAGAGAATAAGGTATTTGACAGTATTAAAAATAAAGTGCCAATTGATAGCATCTGTGTTTAGAATGAATATTGGCAGGGGTTTTTACTATTTTTACAAAAAAATATTCATATTTTTTTTACCACGAAAAAGATAATAATAGTTTTCTTATCTATTGTCACCTGACCCAAAACGCTTGGGATTGGCGGAGCCTATAATGACGTCACACGCATGTAAACTTCCGGATAAAATGACATTACATTGTATCGTTTGACGCATAATGGGTCAATTTAAAATCGGTTGCAGAAAAAGGTGACAGAAAATTATGATTCCAAATTAAAAAAAGAGTTTTTAAATTTAAATGTATAGGTGCGCATATTATGTAAATAATCTTGCCAAATGCATTTTCGTTCTTGGCCGCGATCTCTTGCCGCTTTTTTCAGATTTTCAGATAATAACATAGTGAAAGGTAAAGAAAAATAGCAACTGTGTTACCATCATATATTTATTTATATTAAAAAAACAAACAATTGTTTTTGTAAACCTTCTTTGGAGTCAACACTAATTAAGTCTGTATTCTCATGTTCCACATGCAAAATCACAATATGTATTCTTATGTATTTATAATAATTAAAGTTAAATAAACTCTGTTACTTTCTATGTTTTATAAATATATTTTTTTCTATAAATTACTTAAATTGACTTAAATTATAAAAATATAGGCATGGTATTGTGCATTAATTAGAATAGTGTATAAGAGATATATAAAATATCGATTCAAATATCAGCTCTTCATAAAATTATTAACTTTACTCTTAAATATTTAGGGACATAAAAGTAACAGAGTCGTAGAAACAGCAACATAGTTGTACTTTTACAACGAAATTATGCACTATTATCACAATACTTTTTGTTTTTGGCTAGAAAAGTTGAAGTATATTTAAAAACTTAACTAAATAATAAAAATAAAAAAACATACATTTAAGCTATACTGAGATCAAATTAAACATCAACTGAGATGTTATTTTTCAAATATTTCTAGAGGTGAAGGGAATTTGTAATATACTCTTTTACCCTTAATTACTTTTTGAGGTTCGGAAACAATTTTTAGTAGACTCTCATATTGTTCATATGATACATCATTTTCAATTAATTTGAATATCTTTGCAGTATCATCAACAGACTTCAAGTACACTATTTTTACTTCGCCGTCATCGTCTACTTCGCTTAATGCTTTGCCAAGATAAATGTATTCATTTTTAGAACTGCAAATTTTAACTAAAATGTAAACACCTGCTTTGACTTTACTTGGATGAATATTTTCCTTCTCAATTAAGTCGTTGTTGTCTTTTTTTTCTTTTGACAGGCCGGGTTGATCAAATGATCTATTTTTTAATTCGGTTAATGGAATATTGTCACCGGATTCCGAGCTTGAATTGTATATAACATTATATATAGATTTTCTTTTATGTTCAATAAAATTAGTTATATCCGCTAAAGTTGCGGAATTGCTGTCTTCAGATTCTTCGACCGTATCCTTTAATGGAGAATAATTTTTCGGGCACATACAGGAGCAGAAACCACGTTGGCAAAAACAGCTTAATTCTCGATACTTCAGCGTTCCCACTTCTTCTGTAAACAGTTGATGTACCTTCATTGTACCATACAAAGGCACTATTTGTGCTGGAACTTCTCTCGCAATTTTATCAATGTCTTCATCAGTTATAAGGTACATTTTCACTTTACTACTGTCTTTCAGAATCTGATAAAATGAAGCCGCATCAGAAATGTCTTTGCCAATGGCAACAAGTTGGTCAGCAGTCCGTTTAAGGAAGCCACCAACACCATCAGCTGCTCCTTTACCGTGTCCCGCCTCAAAGAAGTTCCACGTAGCTTTAGTAAAGTTGTAATTTGAAAATAGTCTTGTGCATATTAGGTAGAAGTTTTGTTTCTGACGGTATTGAGTTGCGGGTCCATCAGAAAATATGTGTATTGATTTTACTTTAGGAAATCGGTCTTGAATTGAGGTAAGTATGGGGTGAAGGTGACTCCAGATTGCCGGAGGACCGTGAGATAGGTTGCTCGATACTGTGCAAAAAGACTCCACTTCTAAGTTTTGATTTTGTGAGCTTCGATTGTACAATACACCAGTATGTAAGGATACTTGGTTACGCGAACTACCAAAGTGATGTGATTGTATCTCTTCATGTAACTTGCAATTGTAATTCTCACTGAAATCTACATGTAGGGCTATTTCCTCTTCGGTCAGTCTATCTATACACGCTCGGTAGTTTTTATATTGAGTTTTTATGTTATATACGTGTCTTTTGAAATTTTTGAGAGTCTCTTCAAATGTATCTATCAAATTCTCTACTTTACTTTTCACCTCTTCTTTAATATTCTTCGTAACTTTCATTTTCTTTCCAGACTTTTCTACAATCTCCGTTTTTCTTACCCACTGAGGATAGCTCACTAGGAGGTCGTTCTTTGTTGTATCATACTTCAGTTTAGTCTGTTGACAGTTGAAGCAGTTTTCTGACATGCATGCCAATGAATCCACATCGCAAACTTCTTGTTGAATAATCGTGTTCAAATCAGATGTAGGAATTATTTTGTTTCTAAAAAGAGCAGCAGAAAGGTACGATATGTTAGTGTGTAGCCGGCATAAACATGTTTCCCTTGCATCAACAGATGGAGGTTTTACATAAAATGGTCTGTTTAAAGTGAAACTACTATAACAACAATTTTGTTTGGGATTTTCTCGCTTGAACGAATAAAATAGATTCTTCATATTGTCGAGCAGATAGCGTTTTTGCATTTTGGACTTTTTGAAAGTTACTGTTTCCTTTTTACCTGCTGTGGCCCTAGATACGTCATCTCGGTTGAAAAATTCGTGTAATTTGAATTTAAGGATGTTTGTTCTTTGCTTTGGTGTATGCTTTCTAAAGTAACCCTGATTAATATCTAAGCAGTCTTTGATTATTTGCACTTTCTTTCTTGATTTCGTTATACTATCTTCTTTAAATATATTATGTATAATGCGTCTCTCCTTTAAACTTTTCATTTTCTTATACCGCTCTTTAATAGCATTTGATAAGACATCATAACTATCATTGGGGTTGCTGATTGTAAGTTCTTTTTTCACGGCTCTATTGTATCTCTTTTTGTACTTTTCGTACTTTTTTTTCATTTTCTGTAATTCTTCCTTGAATTTTAGATTTTCTCTTAATAGTTTCGATCTGTCTCTGTTTACTTTTTTTCGACCTCGAACTTTTGCAGATATGTTAGGACTTGCACTACCGTATCTTGGAGTCGGTGGCTGAGGAGTAGATAGTCGACGAGCCGTGACAAATCTTGGGGGAAAATTACGTGAAATCATATCTGAAGGTGGTGGTGTCTCAACTCCAGGTGTTGATTCTGGCGTATGCATAATTATTCGCAGCGCTCTTTGGCGATCTCTTCTTTTGGCATTCGCAACTCGCCACTTTTTTTTAGACACTCGATGCTCGCGTGGAGTCATATCTTTTACCAAGCGTTTCTTTGCATGATAGCGCTCTAAATCCTTTCTCTTTGCTTCTGCAACCTTTTCTGGATTTAGTTTACGTTTTTCTCTATAGCGTCGCTGTTTTTCAGCTGCTGTGAGAGCCATAGTGAAGTATTATGTATTATCTAGAACAAATTATGTAAATTTATTACATTATAAAATATTATATTGACTCATAGTCACATACAAGCACCGATACAAACACAACAATGAAGACCATAGCTTCTAACAGTTTAATAATGACAACTCTGTTACTACTCTACAACTCTGTTACCATCACCTAGTAACATAGTTGCGTAGTAACAGAGTAGTATTTTTAACGATTACTAATGGTTAATTATTAAATGAAACATTATTATGACAAAGTAATAGCATATGAACTAATTTTTCCTTTAGAGATACTTTATAATTATAAAATTGTACAGAAATAATAAAATACTTACATAAAAAGGCTGGTAACAGAGCAAACACACAATAAAACCACGCGCCTCACACCGCAGCCAACGTTCGACTAAATCATGTACCCCGTGCCTCACCCCTCTCAAGCAGTGTCGCTACAACAGTGAACATTATGGCGACTACTATCGCGACCGAACACGGGGCGCCATCTCTTGGCATTTATTGAATTTACATGTTAACAGAAGACACGCTTATTATTACAAAGACTGCGGGACAAAATTTAAAAAAATCATAGTTGGATTAATAAATTTATTCAAAAGATATGAAATGTGTTTTTGAAAATGTTGTATTTGCTTCATTACAATATATTTTAAACAAAACAGTCATACGATTCGATCAAAAAATATTGTGGTTTTTCTATATTGCACTGAGTACAGGGACAGTTTTTTTTTGTTTAGAAAACATCTATGTTACCATTTAAGACTACTCTGTTATATGAAAAAAGTGTTTATTAATGAATAATTAAACTATTTTTTTAATGTAAAGTAATTAAAAAATCGGCCTTTTAACTAATACACCCCTATGATATTGTAATATTTTATTAATATCTACGAGGAAAAAATTTCATTGCTCTGGGACGACATTTTCTGCCACCAATTTTAAATTGACCCTAATAACAGTCGTGTGACGTCACACACTAGTAAGACTCCATATTGTCCAGAAAAACGTTTTCGCGGTAACTTGAAAATGGAGTTTTTGATTTGGTTATTTTTACTGAAATACACAAAAGAATGATGATTATCCGTTTTACGGACTCCATTAACATTAGTCAATAACGTGAGATCGTTTTCTAAAACTTGTCAAATACCCTATTATTAACTGATAAATGCTACGATTACAATAACTTTTGCGAAAATATAAATATGATAATAAAAGATACACGGCGCGCAAGCACGTTCGCGCTCTTCGTTGGTCGCAGGCGTCTGTCTGGGCCCTATTTCAC